CAAAAACCAACAAACAATACCAACAACAACAACAACAAAAACAAAAACCTGAAGACAGGGAATGGTGGCTCATGCCTTTAATCCCAGCAGTCAGGAGGCATTGGCAAGTGGATCTCTGTGAGTTCGAGGCCAGCCTGATCTGCAGAACAAGTTTCAGGACAGCAAAGGCTACACAGAGAAACCATGTCTTGAAAACAAACACAAACACAGGACTGGGAGATCATTCAGAATTTAAAAGTTCTTGCTGCCAAACCTGATCACCTGAGTTCACTCCCCATGAGTTCCTGCAACATGTCCTCTGATCTCAAGTCAAGTTCAGTGGCACATAATACATAAATATACAAGATAAATTAATACATTTATTTAAACCACAAATATAAAAATTATAATGTGTTTATACAACAGGATATTTCTCAGCAAAAAAGGAACCAACTCTTGCACATAGATTAACAAAGATAAAACTCATAGGCATTTTATTAAGGAAAAATAGAGAAAGCAATACATACCTTTTGCATGCAATATTAGGATGTCCAAGAACAGACAAAACTAATCTACACTGTTAGAAGTCCGTAGTGATTTCTAGGAGGGAGTTAAATTAACTGTGAAGGAATATGTTTCTTGGTGACAAGAATACTGTTATTTGAGGTGGCAGATATAAAAATGTATACAATTTTCAAAATGTGTCACATTGAACATTAACTTTTCTTTATTATACTCTTTGTTAATTAACCTCCCCCCCAAATAATATGCCAATAGAGGGTATCTGCTTAGGCGAACACATAAGCAAAAGCAAGGAATAAAGATGCACTTTAAAAAACAAAAGCACTGAAGTTTGGTTCACAGACATTCTCATTGTGAATGGCTGCACATCCCAGTCACCTGGGGCAGCTTTTACAACTACAGATACCAGTGGCAACTCCAAGATGGCAATATTTCACTGGTTTGTGGTCAACCCTGAGCATTAGTAATTTACCTATCCCAGACAGCTCCCAGATGAAGGTCCACTGGGGAGTAGAAAATGAAATCTATAGAAAAGATTATGATAGACAAATAGGGAATGCTCTAGACACGTGTTAGGAAAGTTTAGTTTGCATGGCTGGAGATCCAGATACACTGAAGACACAATGAAAATAATCAGAGCAGGGAGAATACTAAGACTCATCTCACACCTGTGTTCTCTGGCAAACAGACCTAGAGGGGGAGCAGGAAAAGCAGGGTGGCCCAAACATTCAGGCAAGAGGTAATGTAAGACAGATCCAAGGCTGTAGTCTTGGGAATTGAAGATGATACTGATGAATTTTCCAGCCTGCAGTTTCATTGAGGAAGCTGATGAGTAGACTGATTCATTCAGGTAATCTTCTTTTGTTTGTTGAGGATTAGTTTGTCAGAGTCGAGGAACAGAATGATAAATAGTTCCAAATCTAACAATAGTAGGAATAGAGGAAAGAGAAGAATTCCAGGTCCAAGGCACAAAAATATTTTCAACAAAATCATAGAACATATTTCTCAAACCAAAAAAGGAGATGCCTACCATACAAGAAGCAGATAGAATGCCAAATAGGCTGGACCAGAAAAGAAATTTCTCTCAGGACATAAGAATCAAAACAATAAACATACACAACAAAGAAAGAATATTAAAAGCTGCAAGAGGAAAAGACCAAGTAACATATAAAAGCAGACCTATTAGAACAATATCTGACCTCTCTCTTGTCAATCTATGGGACCTCAGGTATTTATCCCTGGCATACAAATGGACTTTGGGAGCCCATTCCATGTAGAGGGATGCTCTTTCAGCCTGGACACATCGGGGAGGACCTAGGTCTTTCCCCAGACAGACTTTG